AATTTTCCAGGCCTAAATTTCCACAAATGTATCATGGGGAAATTTATATTTGCCCCTCAGTCTCACAGGGTTGTGAAAAGGATGAAGTGGTGCAACAGACACAAACATGCTTTTATTATATTTTTTAAAATTAATTTATTTTTAGTTTTCAACATTCACTTCCATAAGCTTTTGAGTTCTAAATTTGCTCTTCCTCATTCTCCTCCCCTCTCCCCAAGACAGCATGCAATGTGACATAGGCTCTACATATACATTCCTATTAAACATATTTTCACATTAATCATGTTGTAAAGAAGAATTAGAACCAATAGGAGGAACCACAAGAAAGAAGAAACAACACAAACAGAAATAAAAAAAGAGCAAATAGTATGCTTCGATCTGCATTCAGACTCCTTAGTTCTTTCTCTGGATGTGCATATCATTTTCCATCATGAGTCCCTTGGAGATATCTTAGATCCTTGCATTGCTGAGAAGAGCTAAGTCTATCAAAATTTGTCATTGCACGATGTGGCATTTACTATACCAACATGCCTTTAAAACTGAGTGTATTAAAAATGCAAGGGATTAATAGTAGCGCCAAAATTACCCTGAATCCTTTCTGGTTTGACAGATCAGGCAGGAGGGAAACTGTCAGGACCTAATGAATACCTACTATGCAGTCCTTGGCACTGTGCTAGGTAGTGGATACAGAAGCACAAGGTGGAGTCCCAGCCTCCAAGAGTTTCCAATCTAGAGAAAAAGACAAGGCTAACAAGGAAACAGCAGCAAGAGATATAGGGGAAGGTATAATTCAGTACAAAATTGCACAAACCATAACTATTCAAGAGAGGATTGAGAAGAAAAAGCTTCTTTGCAGAGGGCGTCATGTATCCACTAGAGGTAGGATCTGAATAGGCAGACAAGGAAGTTAAAGCTGGTAATGTGTCCCTTATACTGCCTTGGGCAAATCATTCCACCGTCTGGGTTTTGTTAAAGGGATCTGAGGGATCTCTAAAGTTCCTCTGACTCTGAATCCTGTGATCCCCTCAGGCTCATTTTGTCCCTATGACCTTCACGCTCTATGACCTACACTTCAAATCTTGTCCCAGCTCTCCACAACCAGCTAGTCACCAAACACTACTATTGATTCTTGAATAATCGATAGTGCTCCCTTCCAGATCTTAACTCTTTGCTACATCCAGTTCACACATTGACACCAGATTCATTTTTCCTAAAGTATCACTTTGGTCATGTCACACATTTGCTTACAAACTTGCAATGCTTTCACCATTTCCTAATGGATAAAAGTCCAGCTCCTTCTTATTCAAGGCCTTCTAGAATATGTTGTGACTCAGTTTCTCTTTCTGCTCCTCCAACTACATGAATCTTCCATTTGAGTCAGATTGTTCCAGTCACTATTCCCCAAACATGTCTTGCACTCTCCCCACTTCTGTGCCTTTTCTCATGCCATTTTCTCTGCTTGAAAAGCTTTCACCTCCTCTCTCTGCCACACTAAGGTCCTCAAGTGGACCTCTCCACTTGCTGAGTGGTGTCTGTCTCTTCGTGAATCCATGATCATATTGTCCATGGGATTTTCTTGGCAAAGATGCTGGAGTGATTTGCCATTTCCTTCTTCAGTGTATTAAGGCAGCAGAGATTAAGTGACTTGGTCACACAGCTGGTGTCTAAGGTTGAATTTGAACTCTTACATGTACATATGCATGTAAATATACATATACATGTACATGTATTATTCATTAATTTGTTCCCTGAGATTCGTGTTTTCCTGGATTTCCCTACTACCTCAGCTTGATGACAAAACCCCATCTAGTATATTTTTAATGTTTGGAACTATAATTCATATTCTGTTTATAATTCTAATGATACAGATAGTCCAAAGCAGATATTTTTAAAAAATTATTTCTATATGGCTTTTTGTAGTAGCAGGAAATTTATCTCGCTAGTTGGATTTTGCTTTGAATAATGTTAAAATGCATCTTCACAGAAAGAAATGGCATATACATATATATACACATATATGTGAGTCCTGTATACATTTATATATAAAGAAATGTTCGTAGCAGCATTTTTAAGTGGTAGATATCCATTGCTGGACAATGGCTGAACAAATTGTGGTACATGAATATAATAGAATATTACTATGGACCACTCATGATAGCACAGTCCTGTTGTCTCTGCTGCTGAGGAGGTGGAGGCAAGTAGATTGCTTGATTTGGGGAGTTCTGAATTATGCTTGTAGACATTAATCTGTAGACACTAATTAGACACTGTCTAATTCTAGACAGTAAGTCTAGAACCAATATGGTGAATCCCTAGGAGCAGTAAGCCACCAGACTGCCTAAGGAGAGGTGAATCATTCCAGGTTGGAAAAACAGAGCAGGTTAAAGCTTCCATGTCAATCGGTATTGGAACTGAGCCTATGACTGGCTGCTGTATTTCCAGCCTAAGTGAAATAGGAAAACCCACTTTTAGAGGGGGGGAAATATATTTCTGTGGCATAAGAAATAATTGAAAAATGAAAGATACAGAGGAGTATGGGAAGATTTATATGAACGAGGTAAAATAAAGTAGCAGAACCAGGAAGGCAAAATATATGATGACAACAATTTAAATGGAAAGAATTTATTTAAAATGTAACTGAGTGGCACCAGACCCTATTCATCCCCCGACTTGCTTTTTTTCTAAATAATGACTTATTTTGCTGGCATAAAAGAGTTGAGAAAATGCACTTCCTTCCCCTCTTTGCAGAGGTGGCAGACTATGGGTGTAGAATATTAAATAAATACTTTGAAACACCATTGATTGGTTGTGCTTTTCTCTCTCTGTCTCTTTTTTTTAATCTTTCCCTTCCCCCTGCCCTTCATCTCCCACTTTTTTCTCTTTTTAAATCTTTGACACAAGGGATGGCTCACTGGATGGCGGAAGAGGAAGGCTATATTAAGAAATAAAAGGGAAGTAAAAGTAAAGTTATCAAGAGATGTGGTGACACATGCCAGTAGGTAATTCCAGCTACCAATGAAGCTGAGGTTGCTGCTGATAGAGTGTCCTCATTAAGTGTGACACTAATATGGCTGTTGTTGTTTGTCCTTCGTTCTTGAAGAGGACCATGACATCAGGAAGGTGATGCCATGACTCACAAGTGAATTGGATTTAAGTGAGGGAGGATCGTGCAAAAGTCATCAGATGAGCTCCCAGAGAATCACCAGGCTGCCTAAGGAGGGGAGAACTGGCCGGGTTAGAAACAGAGCAAGTCAATGGCCACATGCTGATCAGTAATGAGATTGGGCCTGTGAGGGGCCCCTGCATTTCTAGCATGGGCAAGAAATGAATAGATAGGTAGATGTCAATAAAAAAATAAGGTTTTAAAAAATTAACACGCATCTCCATATCCTGTTCACAGGCAGACAAACTTACTGGGAGGAGAGAGACCTGGGAATTTACTAGACAACATGGGAAAACTTGCTTGAGATTAAAATTTTGTTGTGGAGAAATCCAAAGATAGGCATTCGAGAAATAAAAAAAGATTAGTTGACACTAAGACCCTTCTGACCAGGGAATATCATCAGATACCATTATCCTCCAGTCTGCTGCTTCTTTTCCCCCCCTGTCTCTTGTTCCCAGAAGGAAGCCTCATCTTTCCACTGATCTCAGTCAGATGAATCCCATAGGCATTTCCTTCCTGGGTATCTTTTCAGGTCCTTCCATAATCAGAATGTGGTGCCCCCCACTATACCAGGAAGCCTGACAATGGTCTCATTTGGTCTGTAAGCCAGAGTAGTTTTTCTTATAAACTTCCAGGGATTGGATTTCCTCCTGCTCCTTATATGTCCCTCAGAACATCAGGTATCCCAAATAATAATGATAATAATGCTGGCTTATATTCTTCACACGCGTTCCTGGAATAATTATGATAATAATACCTTATCTATTTTATGGGGCTTTATACTTTTTTCCAAAGTGTTTTTGCATATTTTATCTCATTTGTTTCTCATATAAGCCCCCTAGAGCAAAGGTTCTTAACCTTTTTTTTTTCCTTCTTTACCTTGATTCCTCTCTGGTCTCTACTCTTTACCCTGCCTGTAAGTACCTTATTCCCTTTCCCTTTTCAAGCCTTCTTTGATATGTTGTTTTCTCCCTTTAGAATGGAAGCTCCTTTAGGGCAGAGAATTTCTTTCTGCTTATATTTATATTCCCAGTGTTTAACGTAGCACCTGGCGTGTAGTAAACATCTATTAATAAATGCTTGTGGACTCGACTTTTTTGTGTCATGGACCCCTTGGGCAGTCTGGCAAAGCCTGGAGACTTCCCTTTGGAATAATGTTTTTAGATGCATAATATAAAATATAATCTTATGGATTACAAAGGAAAACAATTATACTGAAATACAGTAATCAAAGTGTTTTTAAAAACAAGTTCATGGGTCTCAAGTTAAGAATCCCTGCCCTAGAGGGCAGAAATTATTCTTCCCATTTGACAGATGGGGAGCTTGAGGCACAGAAAGGTAAGTGAACCAGCTTGAAGCAAAGCCAAGACAAGAACCCCTGTTTCCTATGTTCATGTCTGGTGCTTTCTTTACTTCCCAGGAAATCTCCCTGGGCCTCTTTTTTCTTACCTATAAAAGGGGGTAGAACAATGGTAGCCACAAGAATGCATGTTAATTTGATGAGTCTAAGATCTCATTGATGTGAGTGCTTTCTCCAACACTGCCGATTATAATCCGTCCACTCTCATCCCTTGTGACTCTCATCCAAGTCCATTTGTAAATCCCCCACAGGTCATCCATCTTTTTACTGTATGGATAGTTGAAAACTCAACTCTTCTAATAGACAATAAATGTTTGTTGAATTGAATAGCTTTCCTGGTGATATTGTGAAAATTAACAAATCATTATTGGTAAATTGTCCCCTATGTATATAAACCCCTAGGGAAATGTTCCAGCCCTAAAACACAGAACTTTCTCCTGGAGTAACCCTATGTATTTCCTTTGTGTTTTGAGACAGGTCACTTGACTTATGTGCAGTTTGGGAAAGTGGAGTTTTCCATCCCTCTGCTGGCCAGGACAGTGCCTCCAATACCGTTTCGAAAAGGAGGGTGAATGAAAAAGAGAAGGTAGGTGCATCCAGGGTTGTGGGAGTCATGTTTAAGGAAACAAAGCCCTGGGGGAAGATAGAGTCATTCGGCTGGGGAAACATTTGCAAGTCTTAGGGTGTCTTTATGACCAGTAATATTTTTCAAATATTTGTCAGACTATCGTGTAGAATTTGAATTGGCTTGTTTTGCATGACCCTAAAAGATAGAACTAAGAGAAAAGAGTAAAAGTTGAAAAGAGGCAGAGTTAGGCTCAATGTAAGGAATAAGAAATAAGGGCTACCTCAGAGCTGATCAAGTACCTGGTCGTTGAAGGTTGTTATGTATGGTCTGCAGGGTCACTTGTCCAGAATGTTGTCAGAGTGAGTCAAGTGTCAGGAATGGTTTGGTTTGGATGAACATTGAAGTCCTTTCCAAATCTGAAAATTTGCAATCCTAAACAGTTCACTCAGGAACTCTCAACTCTCAGGAAATCAAAAACAATATGTCAGAGAAGACCCAGAGATAAACCACAGTCTAAATCAGTACCATGAAAAGGTTTGGTTATGGGTGTGTGTGTGTGTGTGTGTGTGTGTGTATTTATATACACACACATACATACACATAAGTGTCTGTTACCTTGGCTCATAGGAGCTGTCAGAGTTTTGTCTTAGAACTCCTTGGTTCCCAGAGATATATGAATAAAACTTCCCTCTAAAAGTTATTGTCCTTGGAATTCATTCATTTTTTTTCCTGGAGAAAAAAACGCTGGTACACATTTGTAAATGTGTAAGTCTCTAAAGAATCATGGGGAATGGGTGGAGGTGGGGTTAGTTATTCTTTTCTTTTTTCTTTAGAGAACCTCAAAATGAAAAAATTGTATTAAAAATTGCAGCATGGGTTTTTTAAGGTTAGACATTAGAAAGAACTTACTGACAGTGTTTTACTGAGAAGGATTGTGGAGGTATTTAAAAACTGTAAATCAACAAACACTCCTAGTTACCCTCAGGATCCCTCAAACCCCTCATCTTCAGGAAGTGTTTCCTTAAACTTAACCTAAAGGTTTCCTTTAGCAGTTGAAGTACCTTCTCTCAGATTTCTATTTGCTCTGTGTAGGAGGGGTGGAAAAAATCATTCAAAGAGCTAAAAAAAAAAGTTAAACCTGGTCCCCCGCTGCCCTTGTCCATGGAAGATTGTTTTGCAGCATTGTGTGTAAAAGCCCTGCTGCAGAGTGGATCCTTCTTTGAAAAGCATGGAGCTGGGTCGATGTTGGCTTTCCCTTACCAAGCAGATGCAGTCGTTAAACATGAGTATTAAGTTATTGTCCAGGGTGACCAGCTTTACTGAAGAATCAGCAAACAGTCTAGCCTCTGACCCTCTTCCCCCACCCCCAAGCTTATGTCTCCTCCTAGTCTTTTGTGAACATTGTGAATGGCAGCTCAGGCATATGGGGGATCATCAGAGGGAGGACCTCCAGGGGCTATGTGACGGACCCTGAAGGGAGGGTTAAAGAGGTGGAGAACAATTGGCCCTTGGCAGATGAACAGCTGTCCAAGGGCACAGGGAGTGGCCACAGGGGGAGCTCTAACTAGCGCAAGTCAATGTTTCTGAGATCTGTAGTGCCCCATCTGAGATTCAGACTTCCTTTTGCCCCAAAGCAATGCTAGTTTTAGCCTCAGTCCCCTGTGGTAGTAGGAAAGGAAATGAAAGAAGTGAGGTATGAAATTTTAATGGTAAAATAATTGGTAATTTATCACAAGCTTATTGTTTGAGCTTCAGAACTGGGGTAGACCTGGTAGGAGCTCAGAAGCCAGAATGGATCTCCTAATGCCTTGAGTTTGACGTCTCTCAGTACAGTTTTTCTTCCTCACCGCAGGTTTCTCCCCAAATGCTTTTGGTTCTCCCGTGAATAGGACTCAGCTGGAAAGTAGGGCGATAAAGCATATAGCATGCTTGGTAAACCTTTAAATTATTTTTGAATTTTAAGCAGAATGTAGGTACTTCTCAGGAATGGTCACTCAAAAGCCCCTGCTTCTAGTCTAGCCTTGATCCTTCTGGGTGTGGTCATGGCTTATTGCCAAATTTTGCCAGGCTTCATCAACCGGATTAGGAAATCCACCCCATTGCCTGCTGGACCATTCCCTTCTGCAGTGGCCTCAAATATTGAATGGGACTACTCTTCTGCCACCACCACCTTTCTTTCACTGTATTTTGAGCTCACTCATTTCAGATAATGGCATGAAGATTTATATAAATGGGCACATAAATGATTTAAACTAACACAGGGGTGGTTCACTGGGGTTTGTGAAGGATTCATGTTGAAATCCAATTTTGCATCACTACTCTCTGTTTTGTCTTGGGTTTCCAGGGCCCCTGCCCATTTTTTTTTTCAGTCCTGCCCACCTGCTTTTCTTCTACCCAGATCTGGGGTTATAAGAATGGGAGGCTCCAAAGCTCCGACCTAAGTTCCCCCAATAAAAGGGAAATATCATCTCTGTCAACCCAAACCAACTTCAGTATTCTTGTTGGTGCTGAGCTCTACGGAGGGAGAATTAGACATGTCCTTCTATCCTCTGGACATTTCTAACCTAATAATAATAACATACATTTATTTTTTTAAAATACATGTTATCAATGCCTTTGACTTTACATCATAGTCATTTCTGGGGAGAGAAAAACCTTTCCCCTCCTCTAGATTGAAACCTCCTTTTTTGCCAAAGAAAGGCAATAGGGATAAAGATCTAGCTTCAGAGTCAGGAAGACGTGGGTTCAAGTGCCACCTTTGACCCATACCATTTGTGTGACCCTAGCCTAGACAACTCAATTTCTGCACGCCCCAGGCGATTCTGTCTATGCAGAACAGGTGCTGACCCACATTGTTAGAAGTTGCCTCAGCAGGAGCTTCCTACACTCAGTTGAAATCACAAGTCTGGTGTGGTTTTGTTTAGTTTCCTAAAAATCCTAAGATTTTTATTTACATAGTTGTAGTCATTGTGTGTGTATATGTATATGTGTACATATATTTGGTTCTGCTTATTTCACTCTGACTCAGTTCATATAAATCTCACATTTCTCTGAATTTCTTATATTTGTCATTTCATATACAATAATATTCCATTACATTCCAATACCACATGTTTTTCAGCTAACCCCCAACTAGTAGGCACCCACTTTATTTATAGTTCTTTCTCCCACAAAGGGTGATACTACGAATACTTTGGGGTAAGTGGGACCTTTGTTTCTAACTTGGATTTCCTTAGTGCAGATGACATTAGTGAGATTACTGCTCAAAGGGTATTATGGACAGTTTAGTTATTTTCTTGCAGAATTTCAGATTAATATCCAGAGCTGTTAAACTAATTTACAGCTCCACCAACAGTATATTAGAGTGCTGACTTCTCACAATCTCTTTAACATTAATTATTCCTGTTTTTCATTATCTTTGCCAATTTGCTAGATAAGAAGTGAAAACTCAGTGTTGTTCTAATTTGTATTTATTTTACTATTAATGATATGAAGCATGTTTTAAAATGTCATTTATAGTTTGTAATCCTTCTTTAAAAGGCAGTCATATTATTTAACCACTTATCTATTGGGATATATATTTGTGTCAGTTCCCTATATATCATGGGTACCTGACTCTTATACTTGATATTTGATGCAAATATATTTTCCTGTTTGCAATTTCTCTTATTCTAGCTTCATTGATTGTATTGATCCTAACATTTATATAGTACTTTTAGTAGTTCTTTCTTAAAAGTTAAAAGTTTTATTGATGCTGTTTGTTTAATTAGTCATTTCTAGATATGCCAATACCCCCTCCTCTACTTTGTCTTCCCTCCACCCTTGTATTTTTTTATTTTTTATTTTTTAATTTTTTTTTTTTGGCAATTGGGGTTAAGTGACTTGCCCAGGGTCACACAGCTAGTAAGTGTCAAGTGTTTGGTCTGAGGCCGGATTTGAACTCAGGTCCTCCTGACTTCAGGGATGGTGCTCTATCCACTGTACCACCTAGCTGCCCCACGTACCACCTAGCTTCCCCCACCCTTGTAACAAAGAAAAAACAGTTGAACAAAACCAATATAGTGACTATATCTGACAGAAAATGTAATATTCTGTGTCTGTGGTCCCCCACCTGTCCACGGAAAGAAGAGAGGTGCATCTCCCCTAAGACTGGTCATTACACTTACACAATATTCAGCTTTCTTTCGCTGTCCTTTTTGCTTATGTTACTGGAGTCATTGTGCATGTTTTTTCTGATTTTGCTTACTTGACATCTCCCTGTGTTTCTCTGAATTCCTTCCATTCACCTTTTCTTAAGATACCATGAAGGAAGAAAGGAAGGAAACAAGCATTTACTAAGTGCCTACTATGTGCTAAGTTCTTTACAAATATTATCTCATTTCATCCTCACATCAATTGGTAGGTGCAATTACTATCCCCATTTTCATATAGTACAACTTATTCAGCCAATCATTGGGAACCCACTTTATGAATAACTTTTTGCTCCCATAAGAAGTGGTCCTTTTAAATTTTTCGGAGCATTTGTATATACATCATGGCGGGACACCTAGGTGGTGCCATAGTGAATAGGGTTCTGACCTGGAAGGCAGAAAGACTCATCTTTCTGAGTTCAAATCCGGCTTCAGACAGTTAACTAGCTGTGAGGCCCTAGGTAAATCATTTCACCCTGTTTGCCTCAGTTCCTCATCTATAAAATGGGCTGGAGAAGGAAATGGCAAACCATTCCAGTATCTTTGCCAAGAAAACCCCAAATGGGGTCACGAAGAGTCAGACATGGTTGAAAACAATTGAACAACAAAAACACATCATGGCATTTGATCTACACAATAATCATGTGCACAGTTATCCTCACCATTCAAAATATGAAGCCTAGGGTCCAAATGACTTTCCTAAGACCATACAACTTCACAGAGTAAATTATCATAGGTATTAAAACTGGAAGTCAGTCAACAAACACTGATTAAGTGCCTAATATGTGTGAGACATTGGAAGCAGTGGAAGGGACCTTAGAGGTGATC